CCACCCCAAAGGAACCAAGGTTTACCCCCAACGACCCCCCCGGGGGACCCACGCACCGCTTGCCGTGGGGCGAGAGCTTCTGGGGGACGTTGCGTTTCTTGATGAGGGTCTCGACGGCGTTGCCGTGCAGGAGCCCCCGCGGCGCCCGTGGCTTGAAGAGCCCGGGGTAACGCTTCTCCAGCGCCTGCTCCCGCCTGCCAGGGACCAGGTGTGGGCACCCGCCCCACAGGGGGACGTGGCATGGGGTGGACGTGGCCATGGGGTGGTGGCCGTGGGGTACGGGCTGGCCACTGGCTCAGGGTAGCCATGGGGTAGGTATAGGGGTGCTCATGGCCATGGGGTAGATATAGGGTTGGCCATGGCCATGAGGGTCAATATAGGGTTGGCCATGGCCATGGGGTGATATAGGGCTGGCTGTGGCCATGGGATGGGCTATAGGATTGACCATGGCCATGGGCTATAGGGCTGGCCATGGCTATGGGGGGTGGCTATAGGGCTGGCCATGAGCTATAGGGCTGGCAGTGGTGACCGAAAGGATACAGGGTTGGCCATGGCCATGGGGCAGCCAAAGTTGGCCATGGTCATAGGGTTGGTATAGTGTTGGCCACAGCCATGGGGTGGGTTTGGGGGTGCTGGTGGGTACAGGGGAGTTCTGGGGGTGCTGGTGGGCTCTGGAGGTTCTGATGGGTTCTGGTGGGTTCTAGGTGTGCTGGTGGGTTCTGGGGAGTTCTGGTGGGTTTTGGGGTGCTGGTGGGTTCTGGGGGTGCTGGTGGGTGCTGGGGAGTTCTGGTGGGTTCTGGTGGGTACTGGTGGGTTCTGGGGGTGCTGGCGGGCGCTGGGAGGTTCTGGGGGTGCTGGTGGGTGCTGGGGAGTTCTGGTGGGTTCTGGGAGTGCTGGTGGTTCTGGAGGTTCTGATGGGTTCTGGCGGTGGTGATGGGTTCTGGGGGTGCTGGTGGGTTCTAGGGGTGCTGGTGGGTGCTGGGGGTGCTGGGGGGTGCTGGTGGGTTCT